AGGGCAAAAAGGGAGAAAGCACAAATAAATAGGATAATAAATGAAAGAGGAGAAATCACAACGGACACAGCAGAAATCAAAAGAATAATTAATAACTACTATGAACAGTTATATGGAAACAAGTTCAACAATCTAGAGGAGATGGACAAATTCCTACAACTCTACAATCACCCAAAGCTAGATAAAGAAGAAATAGAACACCTAAACAGACCAATTACAATTAGTGAAATTGAAATGGTAATCAAAAACCTCCCCAAAAACAAAAGCCCAGGACCTGATGGATTTACCAATGAATTCTACCAAACATTCAGAGACGAATTGGTGCCTATCCTTCACAAACTCTTCCAAAAAATTGAGAAGGAAGGTATAATACCTAACACGTTCTATGAAGCCAACATTACACTAATACCAAAACCAAACAAGGACAACACAAAAAAAGAAAACTATAGGCCAATCTCCCTAATGAACACTGATGCAAAAATCCTCAATAAAATTTTAGCTATCAGAATCCAACAGTGTATCCATAAGATAATTCACCACGACCAAGTAGGATTCATTCCAGGGACATAAGGATGGTTCAACATCCGAAAATCAATTAACGTTATCCAGCACATCAACAAAAAGAAATATAAAAACCATATGATAATATCAATAGATGCCGAGAAAGCTTTCGACAAAGTGCAACACCCATTCATGATAAAAGCCCTTGAAATTCTTGGGATACAAGGAACATACCTCAACATCATAAAGGCCATCTATGACAAGCCAACAGCCAGTATCATTCTCAATGTTGAAAAGCTGAAAGCATTTCCATTAAGATCTGGAACAAGACAAGGATGTCCACTCTCCCCACTGCTTTTCAATATAATACTGGAAGTCCTAGCCAGAGCAATAAGACAAGAGAAAGACATACAAGGAATCCAAATAGGAAAAGAAGAAGTCAAACTATCACTATTTGCAGATGATAAGATAATATACATAGAGAACCCCAAAAACTCCATAGAAAAACTAATTAAACTCATCAATCAGTTCAGCAAAGTGGCAGGATACAAAATCAACATGCAAAAGTCAGAAGCCTTCCTATACACTAACAATAAATGTGAAGAAGAAGAAATGAAAAAAAACCATCCCCTTTATTATCGAAACAAAAAAAATCAAATACTTGGGAATAAATCTAACAAAAGAGGTAAAGGACCTATACAAAAAAAACTATAAAACACTGTTAAAAGAAATAGAAGAAGACACAAAGAAATGGAAAGACATCCCCTGCTCATGGATTGGAAGAATAAACATTATTAAAATGGCCATCCTACCAAAAGCAATATACAGATTCAATGCTATTCCAATCAAAATTTCAATGTCATTCTTCAAAGAAATAGAACAATTATAGATGAAATTCATATGGAATCACAAAAAACCCCAAATTGCCAAAGCTCTCCTGAAAAAGAAAGAAGGGAATGGAGGCATCACACTCCCAGACTTCAAACTATACTACAAAGCCATAATCATCAAAAATGCATGGTATTGGAACAAGAACAGACACACAGACCAATGGAATCGAATAGAAAATCCAGAAATAAACCCACAGATTTATGGTCAACTAATCTTTGACAAAGGAGCAAAGAATATGCATTGTAGCAAAGAAAGTCTGTTCAATAAATGGTGCTGGGAAAACTGGGTCGCTACATGCAAAAGAATGAAGCTTGACTACTACCTCACACCATACACAAAAACCAACTCAAAATGGATTAAAGAACTAGACATAAAACCTGAAACCATAAAATACATAGAAGGAAATATAGGCGAAACACTACGGGATATGCACATCAAAGACATCTTTACAGACACATCACCCAAAGCAGTGATAGTGAAGGCAAAGATCAACAGCTGGGACTACATCAAATTAAAGAGCTTCTGCACAGCAAAAGAGACAATAACAAAAACAAAGAGAAACCCTACCAACTGGGAGAACATTTTTGCACACAACACTAATGATAAAGGATTGATCACAAAAATCTGCAAAGAGCTGATGAGACTCAACAACAACAAAGAAAATAATCCTGTCAAAAAATGGGCGGAAGAGCTAAAAAGAAACTTCTCTGAAGAGGAAATGCAAATGGCCAACAGGCATATGAAAAAATGTTCAACATCACTTGTAATCAGGGAAATGCAAATCAAAACTACCATGAGATACCATCTCACACCAGTGAGAATGGCACATATTAAAAAAACTAGCAACAACAAATGTTGGCGAGGGTGTGGGGAAAAAGGAACTCTTCTGCACTGTTGGTGGGAGTGCAAACTGGTCCAACCACTATGGAGAGCTGTGTGGAGATTTCTGGACCTACTAAACATAGAGCTTCCATATGATCCTGCAATTCCACTCCTAGGTATTTACCCAAAGGACACAGAAACATCAATTCCAAAGAACACCTGCACCCCTATGTTTACAGCAGCACTATTTACAATAGCTAAGCTTTGGAAACAGCCCAAATGCCCAAAAATAGATGACTGGATCAAGAAGATGTGGTACATATATACCATGGAATATTACTCAGCATTCAAGAAAGATAAACACATGCAATTTGCAGCAACATGGATGGCGCTGGAAGGGATCATGCTCAGCGAAATAAGCCAGAAAGAAAAAGAAAAATACCGGATGGTCTCACTCATAGCAGGAATCTAGAAAACTTAAATAAGGGACCAGGAAAATGAATAACTATAAGAAAGTGAAAATCAAAATCAGCAAAAATCTATGAACCAGAGACACTTTTCGGGGGGGGGGGTGGCAGGAGGGGAGGGATTGGGGTCAAAATGGGGGGGTTGAAATTGTATGGGGAATATAAAAATTAAATTTATTATTAAAAAAAAAGTGAGTTCTGGGCCTCCCCGGTGGCGCAGCAGTTGAGCGCTGGGTTGCAAAGCTGCCTGCAGCCCCTGTAGCGCCGGTTCGATCCCCGGCTGCTCCCCGGCCACTGGAGGAGGGTCCCACATGGCGTGCAGACCTCTCCTGCTGCCCGCTGCTCCCCTCAGCAGTGTACTTCGGTCCTTCTGCCTGCTCTGCTCCCCGCTCTGGCTCTGGTGAATTCTCTCACCCTCCCGCGCTTCTGACTGTACCCAGTGCTTGTATAAATAAATAAATAAAGCTTTAAAAAAAAAAAAAAGTGAGTTCTATGAAAAAAAGATTTGAAGCTGACAAAAGTAAAAATTTGATTAGTTGTTAAGACTTAAGATATTGCACTCACATTAGTTCCATGATGGCACACTATGTAGCAGTTCTGCAAATGAGGAAGTATGATAACTTTTCACTAGACACTCGTCAGAAAACCTAAATAGCTGGCATTTTAGTACTGAACCTCAAAAAAGGACAATGAATACTTCATTGTGGCAAAGTAAGCAGCTGTACTCAATTGAATTATATACAAGCAATATATAAGAAAGCTTATAAATGCCTGGGATAATTTTCAATACTGTAATAAAAAGTATCAATAACAGAATATGAGAAGCACGCAAACAACTGGTAATATTTTAGGCAGAAGAAATGATACAACACAGATAGTTTCAGTTAGTTTCTAGGCAGCAATGCTAAATTCACTAATGAGTAACAAATCAAATCCATGGCAAAACAAAGCTCATTTTCATGCTTTACAAATACTTAGATTCATCTAGAAAATGCCAATGTTGTTGAATTTAATCAAGCTTAGCTGTTGATTCAATTTTAAACACTAAAGGACTTTCTCTTTGGACAACATATGTTACTAGATTGATGCAAAGTATGTTTGGGGTAGATCTCTTCTCTTTATAAGAACATAAATTCAGCAACAATCTCCCATACTTTCCAAAACTGTATCTTTGAAAAACTTAAAAAAAGACAGTAATTCTGCATGTATTTAAGTAAATCAATCTTTGCTCTAATGACATCATTAGCAGTACAACTAAATAAAGCTAACAAAAAAAAGGACACTATCTCAATGTTAAAAATCACACAACTCTGCTACTAAAGCAATATGAAGTAGCTTTTCTACAAAGCTTGCTGAGTACAAATGACTATATATGTGTGTAATACACAGACACATACATGTACATATACACTAATAAGTTGTACATACATACATGTATGTATTACACACACATGCACATATACATTAATAAGTTACATATTATGTAGCAGGTTGCTGTAAATCAAGGCAGACACACTAGAATCAAGGGTCTTATAAACATTTGTATTTGTTTGATTAGAAAAAGGTAGGTCAATTTTTATTTGTATCCTAAAAGTCTTAGACAAATCTGAGCTCTCAATGAAACATGCCTAAAAACAGATTTTTACTGAGTCTTCACATATGGCCAAAAGATGATTAAGCAAAGATAGAAAAATGATTTATTTATAAACTAGGAGCAAAGAATTCATAGATAAGTATCTTTTGAAGTATAAAATGTCTATCATGTATGTCTCACAGCAAATGTTATCTGCTTACAGGCCTTCCTTGACATCCTACTCAGATGACGGAAATGTAGTAACCCTCTTATTTTCCTAACATAACTCTGAAATATTTTATCCATGCATCTAATAACCTTTAACGTTCCAGTGTAGAATTATGGCTCTATGAGAACAGGTATCCTTACATTTTTCTTCTCACCAGGTGTTTGTAGTAGATGCTGGGCAAATGATTTCTTTAATAACAAATCATCAGTGTACATAACAGATAAAAATATACCAAGAAAAACTGCCTTTCATTTTCTACACACCCTCCCCCCTACACACACACCCTTTGCCCTACAGTTTTTAAGGTACACTATTCAAAATCAGAGATGGAATATTTTGTTGCTTTAAAGTAAATAATGTCTCTATCAGTAAAACTTAATTAAGCCTACCTAACTTGAAGAATAGTGATGTAAAAACAATTTAAATTAACATTTTTTGAAGTCACCCAAAACTACCCACAAAAGCAAAGTCTCTCACAACTTTTACATAATTTAAAAATAATCAGATAAAACAGCTTTAAACATGGTAATTTATTTTATGCAGTTGTTTAAATTCATTATTTAAAAATATTCAAAAGGCACTTTAGAAAACATTTAAAAATACATTTTTCTGACTTATTTTCTGATCACTTAAAATAAGCAAGTCACCAGACATTTTTAAACCATTCATGATACTATTACCTTATATAATTTTTAAATTTCCAAACACAAAGATTCACTGTGTAATATAACACTGCTTAGCAGTAAGATTAGTATCCTTCTAATAATATACTTTATATGAATTATTAACTTACAGGGTCCTGCAAAATTATTTAAATTTATAACTCAAAACAAGAAAGGTAAGAGTTGAAATAGAGCACTATTCAACTCTAAAATTAACTTTAGAGTTGATTTCTCTAAAGAGAACTTGCAAAAATCTTTATTCTAACCTGTATTAATATTTCTAGTTCAATATATAAACATGTCATTTTTAAAAAAATCAACAGAGGTAAATAATATTTAGCATGTAATAAACCACAGGCTGTCTCCCAGATTTCTTAAGTTTCAGTTGGGCCTACTATAAGAAGTAGTGGCAAGTGAGTTTTTGTTTTTGAGAAGAGAGTGGGTACACAGGGGTGAAGGTGGGTGAGAGATGAAATCCAAATGATTTTACCTCATTTAGTTACTGTATATATAGAATTAGTTTAAAATTGTAGATTTTTAAGTAGGGCAAGTAACCTGAGCAGGAGCAGGCATTATTCTTAGAATTTTACTTCCAATCTCAAAGGGAAACCGAAAGTTAATAGGTATAAATTATCAGTAAGTGATACAACTTCTAATTACTAATAATAGCAAAATTAACCTGTGAAGGCAGCACTAAGGCTAGCTAGAAAATGGAAATTAGTTATAAAGGAAATAAAAAAAGGGCAATAAAGAAAAAGCAGACTTGTTAGACTATTCAAACTGGAAACTTAAATAATAATAATAAGACAGACTTAATATAGTAAAGTAAGTTTTTCAAGCCTCAGTCTGAAAGTAATCTAGTTTGATAGGATTAAGGAAGTAAAAAATTAATACTCAGGAAACAAGTATGAAAATAACCAGTTAGTAAATTTAATACTCAAATCCAATTACCGTATTTCAAAAAAAAATTGAAAAGTGATGAGGGATTTATTTAAAATCTTGCAGTAACAAAAATTCCTCTAAAGTTTATTTAAAAACAAATAGTTGAACTCTGGCACAAAATCTGCTTTGTATCATCAATGAACATCCCACTAGAAAATACAAGTATACCATTATTGGAGAACATAAGAGAACAAAAGCCTCTAGCTTTGAGACTACACTAAAGTCATTTATCTAAATGACAAAGATCTTAATTGATAAAAGGCAAGACATTATCACGAAATTTGGTTTTATATAATCTATCAAATATGGAAAAATTTTTGCTTCTTAGGTCTATAATTGATTCTGAAAAATGATGAAATTTTGATAGTATGAAGTGGGAGCAAATATTCTGCATATAAAAACAGCATTTTGCTACCTCAACATTTTTTTACTAACAATTGTGGATAATTTTGATGACGTCATTTAAATATGCTCTAAATGAGTTAGTATAGATTTGCTAGTACTTCATCAGCCCTTCCTGACTCAATCTGAAATTACTAAACTTGGACAAAGATTTTATTGTGAGCCATGGTCACTTTGAAGCAGCTAAAAAATTCTGCCAAAATGAGTTACCCATTGATCCTTTAAATTATCTTTAAAGTCACTTAGATTGACTATAGTCTGATCATGGACAACAATGATCTAAAACATGCTTTATCTAAGTCTTTCAAAGGTAACTTACTTAACAGGACAGTAATCCTCAAACCATTTGAAGCAGAATCACCATGGTTTTGGTACAGTGGTTCTCAAATGAGATGAGTAAGACTCAACTGTCAGGCTTGCTTAAACAGAACTGCTAGCTGCCAGCCCTAGAGTTTGGGAATCGATATTTGGGGGCGGGGGAGAGGAGTGGGTAGGCAAGACTGCAGTTCCAATAAATTCTCAAGTGGGAATCTAATTGGGACCACTGCCCAAGAGTATCTGATAGGAATGCATACTGTTGACCCACACACTAGAATCAGAATTTCCAGGACTGGGCTCTTGAACATTGCATTTTAACCAGCTCCCAGACAAAAGTGTAAGAACCACAAGTTGAGAACCACTATGATAACTTAGTTAACTTGACTATTACTGGCCAATGTGTCAGATGTCATATAAGTAAAAACAGGAATAATGCTAAATGACTAACTTCAAAACTGACACGGTACAAAGAAAACACAGGTTTTGAGCATATATCCAAGGTGTATTACTTACTAGCTTTGTGACAATGGAAAAGTACTTTTAGTTCTCTGAGCCTCAGTTTTCTCATCTATAATTTGGGAATACACCTAATCTGTGATATTAATACTAATGTACAGAGTACCTAAATATCTGGCATATAGTAGGCACTAGATAAAAACTAGCTATTATTTATTGTAAGAAATAGTTCCTTCCACATCTAATTTGATTAAAGCAATTTTTCATTCATTTAAATCAAATATTTACATTCCAAGGTAACAGAATAATAAAAACCTTATATTTATTGCTCCACACTCTGGGCCAGACAGTGTTTTAAATACTGATATATATTCACTCATTCAATCCTCATAAAAACCTGTGAGGTAGGTAGTATTATTATCCCTAATTTACAGATGAGTTAATTGAGGCACAGTATTAACTTGTTCAAGGTTACAAACTAGGTAAGTGATAGAACAAGAATTTAAACCCAGGCAGTTTGATTCCAGAACCTGGGATTTATCACAATGTTAATTTCCCATCAGTAAATTTTAAGGTTTTGGATATTTACTATAAACTACACGTTAGTGCAGAAAAGGATCATATATGGATTGCAAATAAATTCATGCCCATGCCAAGGTAAGGAATTGTTCAAAGAACAGAATGAATATCTTGAAATCTGGGGGAGAAACCATCATAAAAACAACAAAAATTAATTTAATAGGTAAAAACTGGTGAGTTTTTACTATGTGAACATAGTAATTACTTGCAAAAATGAACATCCTTTCAAATTTATCATCCAAATCAATCCTGATTTTGATATGTTTTGGTACAATAAATATAAACTATCTAAGCAGCAGAGTCAATAACATGACTGCCATGAAGAATTATCATAATGATAAACTTAGGAGAAATGTAAATCATCTATAATATTTAAGACAATCATACAGAAAGTCTAAAATATTCTGTTAAGATATACGCATATAATATTGCTAAGATGAAAAATTAAAACTTTTCTTCCCTCCCAGAAACTCTTTAAATAGTCACTAAAATTTGAATGAAGCACTTTTTGATTATAGCCTAGAAAGTGTTTTTGATGACAAAGTAGACTGGGTATTCTGCTCCATCAGGATTATCCATTGGGAAGACAATCATTGTAAAATAACAGTTGGCATCAAAATTTAGGCTGTTGTTCATAAATTAAATTTGAAAATATCACATATTTCAGTCTGCTTAAACACATTAATGTTTTTAATTAACTTTGGTCAGAACCCTGCATTCAAATCATGCTGCCAGTATAACTAACAGCCACCTCAGATCCTAAAACAGAATTACAAAAAACCATTTTAAACAAGTCATGAAAGGCACAAACAAGTTCTAATCTTTATGGATGAGAATAAAAGGAATTATAATTTTGTAGTTGAAAAGAATTTTAAATAATTAAAAATGTAACTTATCAATTCAAGAGAGTGGCACTGATGTAAGATAAACACCCCAAATAGCATTAAATTTACTATTGTTTCCCAAAATAAAATGGGTAAGTGCAGAACAAAATATTTTATAGAATGCTATTAATGGTTTTAGTAAATAAATATAAGTAATGAGAATGGTATTCAAGAGTGGTTAAAGAAAAGAGAAACAGGGACTCGGTAAAAGATTAATTACAAACTATAACCAAGTAGATAATACAGTCAAGGCCCATGATCATTTCAAAATGTGGTTTTATTAATGCACTTTAGTACAAGTGCCATTCTTATTCCACCTTCTTCTGGAAGAAATACTGCCAATTATAGAGTCAGCAAAATTTTCATTAGACAAAAACTGTGTGCATGTAAGGGGGTGGGGTGGGGGGCTGGTTTATTTATATCATACTGCAATATAAACTCATGTCTTGAGTTTATATACAACACTGAGCATCAATATTTCCTCCTAAAATTTTCTTTAAGGCAGACCTGTTTAGCATCACGTGTGTTACTAACACAGTGCACTGTAGTTTTAGCAAATTAAATGTTTTAGTTTCTCATTGAAAATAATACGTGGTCAGAACAGGCAACAAAATCTCTTTTCTAGTCCCTGTGACCACTTTAAAAACACACGTTTTTCATAAAAATATATATATATATCTATATACAGACACACACATACATATATATTAATTACTGTATCAAAACACATTTTAACAGACTTTTTTAGCTCACTTAAAGCTTCAGTTTACAGTCATTCATATGCAAGATTTATAATATGGAATGTTCACTTCCTCACTGGGATTCCAGTGTTCTAAATGAGAAATGCAGAAGTCTTCTTCAGTGCAATGTTAGACATTTTGCCTCTGTTCACTTATGCTTTTCTCTCAAGTGTTCACAATTTTACTTTTGGATCTTCATTTTTGTATGCTTTACTTATTTCCTTTACATTATTCTCTCGTAAGGCAGGTTGATATCTGTATAAATAACCATATGGACGAAGATGATAAACGAGGTATTCTAACTCATACATAGTTGTAGGATCAACATAGTGAAAAGAAACTGCAAGATCAGAACAGCAACCAGGACCCTAAAAAAAGTAGTGGAAACAGGCATTATTAATAAACAGCACACTTTTAACATGTAATATTCACATATTGATAAAAGAAACACTAATTTTTTTTAATTTTTATTTTTTATATCATTGTTCATTTTTTTTAAATAATAAATTTTATTTTTATATTCCCCATACAATTGCAACCCCCCATTATGATCCCAATCCCTCCCCTCCCGCCCCCACCCCCCTCATTGTTCATTTTTAACAATATATGCTACACGGCCCCCCACCAGTATAATCCCCATAGAATTTCCTTCCCCAAGGCACCCATGCACCATCACCATAGTTCCCTGTGTTCCTCCCTCCCTCCCTCTGATCCCTCTCCCTCCTCTTCCCCTGCAGGATGTCTCTGATTTATAATTGTCTGTTTTTGCTTTGTTGTGTTTTGTACTGTTATTATTTTTTTACACAGGTGTCTTATTTGATTCCCCTGTATTCCTCCTATAAGTGAAACCATCCGATTTTTTTCTTTTTCCTCCTGACTTATTTCACTGATCATAATTCCTTCTTGCTCCATCCACATTGCTGCAAATGGCATGAGTTTATCTTTTTTGATTGTGGAGTATTATTCCATTGTATGTATATATACCATATATACTTGATCCAGCCATCCATTTTTGGGTATTTGGGTTGTAAAGAAACACTAATTTTAACAGAATTGAAGCATTAAAATTAGCAAGGTAAAGCAGATAACACCTAGTATTAGATCTATGGAAAGGAGAAACTTGGTTATGAGTTCCTGATAATTTAAAACCGAAGATGAAATTGTCAAGGTATTTCTGAAATATATTCTCCCGTACTCTATCTACAATGTTTAGCAGAAATTTTTTTTTTTTTGAGAATTCTTCAAATGAGAGAAAAATATGTACAAAGGATAAGGTTCTATTTCTCCCAGTTTTGCTTTCTCTTCACAATTTTGTCACTGTTAAGTTTCTGCTGGCTAAGCCTCAGAGAGACAACACTGGAACTTCAAGTCTTGCACATTATGTGTTTACAACCTACTATTTTATTTACATACTAACTATTTAAGACAGAAAATGCTGAGTCAAACTTTAATCTGAATCCAAATTTTGCCCACTAGTGTATGACCGTGAACTATTTACTGCAAAAGGTGGTAAAAGGACGCGATGTGTCTTGTCGATTATAAATGCTCAATAAATGTTAGCGATTACTGACAGAATAATCATATTCAAAAAACCCTCAGTAAGGAGGTCAGAATTAAACCTTTCTTCAGTTATATAATTCTCACAGATATGTGAAAGATTTGATATAATAGGATTAAAACAGCAAACAGGAACAAAAAAGCAAGAAAATAATAAAAATCCCCAGGCTGGTCCCAGAATTAACAGTCACAACTATTATTTTGGGGTCAGAATTGGTATCTGTAGATCACTCAGGTGATTCCAACAAGACTTCACACTCTGTCTCATGTCTTTTGGAAGGACCCAGGGAGAGAGAGAGAGTCTGGCAGCTTTTCAGAGAAGATTCACATTGAGCTATTAAACTAAACATTTAATAACTCATATATGGAAGTAAGTAGTTTACAATGTAATGAAAGTTATCAAGAAATTGTTCATTACATTTTTTCACTGGTCATCTCTCTGAATTTTCCTCTGAAATAAACACTAAATATATGGGATTCTTGGATAATCATGTAGGCATTGGAAGAGTATCTAGTGCCTACTTTTTATACTATTAGGGAATACAAAAGGAACAAGTATGAAAAGTAAACAGAAGCATCAACCTGTGATTACCTAAACCAGTTTTGTTCAACACATCTATGTGTGCCACATTCAAAAGGTAAAAACAGGTAAAAATAATTTGAATATATTTAATTGAACTGAACAAATGTGTTTTCAGCATACAATATATTTAGCATTTTTAATAATTATTTTTACTTGTCCTTGAAATCAGATGTGAATTTTATACAGATAGCAAATCTTAATTTGAACTAGTCATATTTCAAACACTAGAAAGTAATATATCAGTGGTTACTATATCAATCATTACTATTAAACTAAAAGACTAGAGCAAGAACAGTTAATTTCCAATTGCTGATCCTCTCTAGAAACAATTTTTATATAACTTTGAAATACTGTAATGCTGCTTTTAAAATAAGATTTACTGCACTGAGCATGTATTAATTGTATTTATTTTTTACTCGATGGTCAAGATAGTTATTATTAAGCATTAAGAAATAAAAGGCAATAAAACAGCTATAATTATTAGAAACAAAATTATTCTTTGCATCTGACTACAGTTAACTCCCAAAACTCAAGAAAGTCAAGTGGAAAGATCACCAGAAGGAAGGAAAGCGGAAAAGAGTCAGGTTTTAAAGATGCTTTAAGTTATAGTTTTCATACAAACCAGTTAAAAAATGCAAGAGTTCAAGGAGAATAGTAACAAAAATATTAAATACTTAACCTAGGAGATACTAAGGAAGAAATGAAGATCTGAAGAAAACTATACAGTATAAGCTAGCTAAATTAAGACTGCAAATTCTCTGGTGAAAAATCTATTTCTAGGGAAAAGATTGTTCCTAGAGAATAGATTCACTTCTAGGAAGGTGAAAAGTTAGTAAGGGAGGAGGGGAAACACACTGAGCGTAAGCGCTGACCAAACAATTTAAGAACACAATGGATTATAATATTATATTTCATATTCTGACTTCCTAGATAAAAATTTTCTACTGTATATTTTCAAAGATTACTGCAAAGGAAAAAAAAAATACATGAAACTTAGAAAGGCTTTGAAAATAGTAACTCAGGGAGAAGAAAACTTATTAAATGATGGATGAATAATGGAATTTTGATTTCATATTGGATTTATACAGAACCTCTGCATAATGAACAGGCAATGTTAGAAAGTTGAGTCAATTCTGTCAATTCCACATCTATCTTATAGTCTTACTATATTTGTATAGGAAGAATATAATTTTGAGATCCATTCAAAAACCCACTGCAATTTAAAAATAACATGCACTACAGAAGTATTTCTTTTATTCACATAAAATATACCGTAAAGTACACTCTATTTGTAAGTAGAAATGGTGGGCAGTACTCTTAAAGGGGAAGGATATTTAACTGGTTAAAAGATAATGACAACTACCATGTCTCTTTGCTGATATTATCAATATCAGATACTCTTCACAAAATCTTACATGCATTTAAGTGTATTTGTTATATGCATTTGTAGTGTTCTTGAGTTTGGCTATTTTTTACATGAAAAGAGGTATAGAATTAAACAAGGAAGATGTTAAGTAATCTTGGAAAGGTCAATATGTATTAAGAAAGGTTACATCAAAAAAGCATCCTCGCTAAAATAAAACAAAAATATACTATCAAAAGACAGACTTGGGAATACATCTGTTTTACAGTCTGGGAAATTACTGCATCTACAACAGCAATAAAATGGTAGTATCTGTCAGTCTCATTACATAGAACTGAACTTTAAAATGTTTAAAATGTTTATTAACAGTGGAATTAATCCCCAAAACAGAATATTTATCTAACATATCCCCATATCCCATCTTCCTTTTGGGGCACATTTCCCATTATTCACAGAGAGGAACTCATGATTTTAAGAGATTTTAGAATCAGAATGATTTACAATACTACCTTGGCCATTTATGGGGACAGACAAGTTACCCGACTTTCCCTCAATTAAAAAAAATCACAATTTTAAAAAGTAAATAAACACATGCAAAATTACGTGAGGAGTAATTATTGTGTTTGTACCAAGAAAACAATAGTGGTTGATAGCAGAAGCAGCAGGAATTTGCTTAAAAGTTTTCTTTTTATGCTTATAAAGTTTGGGCCAGATGTTTTAAGTCAGGATTTCTTGACTCAGAGGTACCCACAGTTTAGATTAGAAAATTCTTTGTTATTCGTTGTTATTAAATTCTGTATCTGTGTGGGGCCTCCCTGGTGGCGCAGGTGGTTGAGCGCCGCACTGTGAGGCTGCCGCAGCCTCTGCAGCGTGGGTTTGATCCCGGCCGGCCCGGGAGAAACCTACATGGTGCAGCAGACCTCTCCTGTCTTGCCTGCTGCTCCACTCAACAGTGTATCTCAGTAGATTTGCCTTTCTGCTCCACCCCCCACCCGCCCTGCCCCAAGCACCTCTGACCTACATCCCAGGTCTTGTTTGCATAAATAAAATAAATCTTAAAAATTTTTTTTTTCTACACTTACCTCTACAGGAGGATAAAAGTTGTAATTCCAGTACCAAAAAGTTTTAGGTAGATAACCCTTGATTAAGTGGTGTTCTGGTACAAAGGGATGAAAAGTTTCTTTTCCAATGGTATCTCTGGAATCTCCTGCTTCTACATTTATAATTTCCATGCATCTCCCCAGTGCTAAATCTTCAATGGAGGAACTATGTGTACAAGTGTCTGTTTTGAATGCATTAACAAATCTCTTCAAGGCTTCTTTGCTCAGTACATATCCTGCTCCTCCACTCATGTAGCCCTGCTTTACATAGGGCTTAAATCTTCTCCCAAAGTAAATGGGTTCTTCAGGGTTGTATTTTGAGAGAAGCCATCTCAAATTGTCTAGTATAACATAAGTATCATCATCTGCTTTCATAAACCAATCAGCATCTTCTAAATAATGTTCATGAACATATTGAAAAGCTTTAATTGTTTTCCAGTATAGTTGGTCTCTGCCTTCTCTGGTTTCTAATCCCACAGCAGGGAAGTCTTTATTTTCTTCTGAACTCATAAACAATACTTTATTACAACGCTGGGCCCATGTAGCTTTGACATGTTTGGCCTTTTTTTCTAGATTTTGAGGCCCTGTCATAACCCAGCAAAGAATTTTAACTTTCTGATAAAGTTGTGCCGCGATGTCTGTGTTCTCATCTATTAAACAAAAAATGTTGAAGTTATATTTACATAGATATAAAACCCAAATATTGAATAAAACAGCTTCTTTTTAGTTATTTTTCTGATAGCGCACTAAAAAATATATTTTTTTAATAAAAGCAACACTGTACTATAAAATTATTTAAGTTTCCTGAGTACATTATTGAGAATCCACATATATATACACTCCATGAAGTTTACCACTAAAAGTCCAATTCCATCCTTCACCATGCCATTGTCTCCTTTGTCCTAATTTACCCACACTGTTTCCCTCTACCCTTCTGGCAATCACTAATCTTAGAGTCCAAAGATGTTTTTTTTTTCTTCCAAATTTTATTTAGCTCTATCTCTGCCTGTTTGCTTTCTCTATATACTACAAGAATGAAATCATGCCATGTTTGGAAAAAGACAATAATCTTAAACAGTTTCAAAGATTCTCTCCTCCCCACCTCCTTCTATTTACCTCTCTATCATTAGAGATTTAGCTGAAAGAAAGCAAAATTCCATCCAATGAGAATTGATTAATGACTTATTGGTTTCATGTCCATCTTACCTAGGTGATCAGTTGGAATTAATTGTGAGTTGTCACTATGACTTTAATTCTTACCATTTAAGCTGTGGGTCACTGACCGAACAGCATCAGCATCACCTGCCAATTTGTTAGAAATGCATCTCAGGTCCCACCCCAGACTAACTGAATCAGATCTGCAATTTAACAAGTTTTCCTGGTGATTTGTATGCATATTAAGCACTGCCTTAGATAGTATCTGTATTTCATTCTACAAAGAAAGCTGCAACAGAATGGAATTCCTCACAGCTCTGAATAGCTGTGAGCAGGAAAGATATGCTGCTGAAGTGGCAGTTCATTTTGGAGCTCACAAGAGTTCACTGTTACAAATTTCTACAAATTACCATGAGGTGGCTTTAAAAAGGTTTTCACGACTAAACCAGTGAAAAAATCAGGAGTTAATGCAGGACTGACATTACTTCTGATAGCAACATACTTCATTTCAAAATGCCAATCAACCAGGCAGAAAATACAACAAAAGGATAGGTAGAGGCCATAGTCTGTCTAGAGAAGTGTTTTTTGAAGTGCTGTTTACAAAAAAATAAGGGGCTAATGTCAGGTTACCTCTTTTTGAGGAAGTCTTGCTTCTCTCCCAAAATACTCCACTTTAACTAAGCAGCCTAACTGATTTATATTCTGGTGCAAGCTTTTTATCTGGGTACAGTCAGGTAACCAACAATTCAAAAGGTCCTTACCAGGACCAAGCACATTTTGAGAGGGAGAACAACTGTGATTTCAGATCAGTGCTTGGTGAAACACAAACTTATTTCTTATAGTTACAGAAACCTATATTTTAAGAAATATGCTGAAAATTAATTACTAGAAAAGAAAAATAAAACAACAAAATATAAGTCTTAAAATTTTGTATTTATATTTAGACAAAATTACTGTCAAATTAGCATACAAGATACTCTTTAACCCATTCAATACTTAAGTTGTGGAATAATATGAGTCTGCAAACCACAATCTGTAGCAGCGTTCTAGGCAGAATTCCAGGGAAGCATATCATTAAAGAACAACTAGTGAGTTACAAAAGCTCAATCTTGTGATAAATACTGCAGAGATGAACTTTCTAGTTGACTGATTGAAAAGGAATAGAAAATAAGTTTCGGCAGGGTATGAAAATATTCTCGTGACCCTCTACTAAAGAATTCATTATCCCAAGACAGACAGAATCATCCTATTTTCAGTCACAGAGCATTTTAGTTCATATACTTGAGGAACCCAATCACTTAGCTTTACAGATGACCAAATCCTATATGAAGGAATTTCCGAAATACTTTTCCTTACATACGACGTATAACTCTCTCCCCACTGCTGGGATACAAGAGATATTCTTTCAATTATTCATTCATTAAGTACTTTATAATAGGCATGTACTAGCACAAGAAATGAAAAGATGACTAAGACACAAGTTCTACAGAAAAAATCACAGTCTAGCAGAAAAGCTTGGCATGCAACAAATACTTGCCACATTCTAAGAAATGCTATAATAAAGGTATATAGATGGGTTCAATGTGTTGTGGGAAAAGATAGCAGTGGGTGTTAAATCCTATAGAACAGTGGAATGGGAACTAGGTAGAATAGAGAAAAGGGGGAGACAGTAAAGCAATACTATAACAACTAAGAGAGAATATTTTTTAAAAATAGGTTTGGTAGTGTAGGTAAGTACATGGGAATAAATGAAGGACTCAACTAAGAGAAAACACTATGGGCTGCAAAAAGAAATCTGAAAAGTGATAAGGTTGTAGAATTATTAGAATTTAGTGATAAGTGGCATTGATTGGCAAGCAAAGAGAAGCCTCATCTATGGCTTAGGCAGATGTAATAAGGAAAACAGAAAGAGGGACATATTTTAGGAGTAGGAAGAAAAAGAAAGGAGTTTGATTCACACATAAGTAAACCGAGAGGAACAGACAGACTTTCTGCATAACCCACATTTTGTAAACCACCGAGTAGGACACACAGGTACTTAATTAATATGCCTGCAGTAGTAGAGAAGACTGGCTCCAAAAGGTCATTAAGAATATCTGGAGTGATGCTATAGGAGTCAGTGCAGTGATCAAACTGCGCTATAGTAAGAACACAGACTACCTACTCCAAGCTGAATCACTATTATATAAACATCCACACAATATGACATACTTTGTAATAGTATGCATATAACCAGTTCATAAAACTTAAACCAGGATTTGATACCTTGCCCCTCAACCTCAGTATAAGAGGCAGATCCAAAGTAATTTACGGTCAGAAAGATTAACAATTCTTAAGGGGGGGGTGTTTGGAGGGGGCTCTGGATGCATTTGTTAGTTCAAGCTGTTTGTATCCTTTTCTGTCAAATAAGACAATTTGTAGAGATACCTGAATTGTGTTAATTATTTCTCATAATGACTGGAGGAGGCTAAGAAAAAGGCAGTAAGGAATAGCTGGAAATTAAAATTATGGGAAATGATAGCACACCAGCAAAGAGAGTTTCAAAGGACAGAAACTTGGAGAAAAATCAACATTTTAAGGGGCACAGAGAGATTTGAATTGAGAAAATCTAGTTAGAGATAGGAGGCCAGGAAATAAAATAATTATATCTTTAAGTTTTCAACTTCCCTAGTTTTTGATGCCTCGTAGAAAGACAAAAGATTGTATTAGCTACTGATAAAAGTATAAACTGAGATTTAGTGTGAATATAACTTGTGAATTATATATACATGATTTATATATAAATTAAATTGAGACTAAAATAAAATATCAAGTATCTTTGCCAGCAAAGGTACAGATATAAACCACAATCGTAAAAGTTAGCTCAAGAAAATTTTCAGACACAAATCTAATCTGTAAAGTTTTCTTTCCTCAAATTATGGTTTCCAAACTATTTTCTACTTAAATACAAATTCAAAATTAGTAACTCACTCCCTAAATAAATCGGGTTTCAGATTTAAATTTCCTTTTCCTGAGGAAAACTAAGAACTGCCGTTGAATATCTGCATAAGCTCATTTTCATAAAAAGAGTGATATAACCAAATTCACATAAATAAGTTTTTTATATTCTCTTAACACTTATACATAGACTGAAACATACTGTCTGTGCTTACTCCTTAATAAGTCATACCTTTATGTTGACTAGCATCTGCATTGAAGTTCATCTGTCCTTCTAGATGATTCTGTCCATTATCATCTGAATGCCTAGCATGAGGATCATTATGAAGAATATTAGGCTGGGTGTCTTCCTGTTCACCCAACAAAATACTAAATAGCTGAGAACAGAGAACAAATCCAATTGCAGATCCACAGAGGAAAGTTAAAAAATTCAGCCAAGATTTAGAGGCCATTTCCCGATAGTGTATTTCTGTAAGAAAAAAAAGTAGCAGGATGTCATAAATTATTAAGGCAATTACAAACCAAGAGTAAAAAGTCTGATAACTTTTAGCAATACTGGAAAGTTAATTCCTTCCATATAGAACATTTTAAAAGTATTTCACTTTTATCAATGAGTTTGTCCCTCTATTTGCAGCTAAAACAGCACATTATGGACAAGTCAAAAAACATTAATGAATAGTAACTAGGATATTGGTGGGATGATGCATGAGTAAACACGTTAATATCTGCACACAGAATTTCCTGTTCTTTGCACCAGAATCCTCTGTGGGCCCATACTTGCTTGCCACATTCTTTTTTCCCTTTACTGTGACAGTACTTAGATTTAACTTTTTCTCTTTTAGTAGTAATCATCACCTATTCTTTAGCCCTGAGGTTGGTAAACTTTTTCCATAAAGGACTACAAATAATATATATCAGGCATTGTGGGTCATATATGGTCTCCTGCATATTCTTTTTCTTCCTTATTATGAAAGAGCTTTAATGTAAAATTCATTCCTAGTTTATGAAGGGATAGAATCAGCACAATTTGGGGACTCAGGGGGTAAAAACCAGTCTACCACCTGTTTTCTGCAAATAATATTTTATTAGAACATACCCATATCCATTCATTTATGTGTTGCCTGTGGTTGTTTTTGCACTGCTAACAGCAGAATTGAATAGTTGCACCATAAGAGGTAATATGTCCCACAAAGCCCATCTGACCCTTTATATAAAGTTTGCCTACTCCTGTACTTTTAATACGAGCTTCATTGCAAAGCTGGATGCAACCTACATTTACTCACATCTTTCACTGTTATTTCACTGAACTGCAAGATCATGAATAGGAATATCTAACACCAGGATTAAGTAGGGGGCCCAGGATATAGTGGCTATTTATCATATGTCTGTTGAACTGTCCCACAGCCAAACATACAGACCCTCTTTAAAGGATTTGCTAATAATGACTACATGGTAAACCTTTAATTCCTGTAAGAATGATTCTTAGCCTACAATTTCCAAATACCCAAGACAATTTGAAAAATAGGTTTGCTAAGCATCTACCACCTGCCAGGTGGAATCTAAACTTTATTTCATCTGAAATAAAATTTAAGTTAAATTTCATTCTTCATCTCGCTATGAATGTCATTCAGAAGAATCAGAATTTAAAAAAAAATTATAGATACTTATGCAAACTGACACATTCAAGAAGAGCCACAATTTGAACTCAAGTCTATCTGCTCACAAAATGTATTCCCCATTACATTTCTTAAAATTTTCACCCAAGAGGACAATGGACAAGTGTAATGAATGTAGGGGGTCTGAGAGAAATGAGCCTCCCCAAAATCAAAAGTACCTGAATGTTTTGTAAAAATCAAAATACACAATACAATCACCACTAGAACATTAATAGCAAAACCAAAATAACTTCGTCTGGTTCAACTTCCAGACTGGCTAACTCATCCAAATGAGTTTGATCAGAAAAACTGATCAAATTGCAAAAATATGTGTTTGAAGACATTGGTATAAGGGGTCAAAATCTGGAATAAGAAGTTAAGAGCTGGGCTATACATGTGATACAGCTTTACTCCTCAAGAAAATTACTGATTCTGATAGGAATAGCATTAGCTGAAAGGCAAAGAAGTTGAGAAAAGAGTTCAAAGTCTGCCAAAAAGAGGGCACAGAAAACACTCAGAATTTTCTCTTGAGATCCAATGACTAGATAATCAGGATGATCTGCCTAAATCTAAAGTAAATTTTCCTGGAGATACATGAAATCATGACAAATTTCAAATTATCATTATAATTTTTGGGTTGTGATACACAATGTCCAACACAATGAAAAATAACAGGCATCAAAATGAAAAGTTTGACTGAAATCAGAGAAAAACACGTAGAAAACAGAAACAGACTCACAGGGAACTCGATAAGGGATTTTTCAATCACTGACTTTGAAATAATTCTTAAGTTGTCAAGATGTTAAATGACAAGATTAAGAAATCAGGCTATATTAAGAAAGCAAAGAAAAGAAACGCAAGAGATTAAAAGATTACTAGAGGAGATGAAGAACTCTGAGAAAAGCAATGAAAACAGAATCGATGAAATGGATCAGTACTATCAAAGATACTAAAGATAGAGCTTCCATATGATCCAGCAATTCCACTCCTAGGTATTTACCCAAAGGACACTTGCACCCCTATGTTTATAGCAGCACTATTTACAATAGCTAAGCTTTGGAAACAACCCAAATGCCCAAAAATAGATGACTGGATCAAGAAGATGTGGTATATATACACAGTGGAATATTATTCAGCAATCAAAAAAGATAAACGCATGCAATTTGCAGCAACATGGATGGAGCTGGAAGGGATCATGCTCAGCGAAATAAGCCAGAAAGAAAAAGAAAAATACCAGATGGTCTCACTCATAGCAGGAGTCTAGAAAACCTAAATAAGGGACCAGGAAAAAGAATAACTATAATAAAGAAAAAATCAACAAGCAACTATAAACCAGACACACACTACTGTGAGGGGCGAGGTGGGAGAGGAGGGATTGGGGTCAAAATAAAGGGGGTGTAATTGTATGGGGAATATAAAGAAAATCTTTAAAAAATCAGTTCAACAACAACAACAACAACAACAAAAAAGAAATTAGGCATAAAGTAGGCATATTTAAAGAAAAAAATAACTTGAAAGTAGATGAAAAGACAGAAGGATGGACATAAAGAATTGAACAAAAAAGGGCCTCCCAGGTGGCGCAAGGGGTTAAGATACAGTAGTATGAAGCTACTGGCAGCCACAGCAGCACAAATTGGATCCTCAGCCAGGGAGGTGATTCACATGGCGCAACAGACCTCTCCTGACTTGCCTGCTCCTCCCTTCAGCAGTTTTCAGTCAATTCTCCTGTTCTGTTCCCCACTCTGTCTCTGGTGAATCCTCTCACCCCCAAAAACCCCACCCCACGCCTCTGGCCTTTACTCCAGTTCTTGTATGCGTAAATAAATAAATCTTTAAAAAAAAAAATTTGAACAAAGGAAACAGGAGGCATATAGCTGAAAGGTGTAATACATATGTTAACTGGAACTCTAACAGGGTGGTCCTCAGGAAAAGGGGTGGCTCCAGGTTCCCTGACAACTCCCCCATCAACCCCCAAGGAAGGGTGGAGCTGCAAAGGGAGGAAAAAAAAGCTAGAGAGGAGACTGTAGAAGGAAGGAAGAAGGATGGTGAGCCAGAAGGAGACCTGAAGGAGTCATGTGGATCAGCTTTCTGATCCATGTGAAGAAACTGTGCTTGCTTCTTGGTCCTGGCTTGGTTGAAACAGATGTGGGTAAGAGACCTGTGGGGAGGTGAACAACAGCCTTGATTTTGCTCCTTCTGTCCCAGATGTGCTGGGCCCCTTCTGCCTTTTTCTTAGGGGACCCCACCAGAAGGTGCATTTTTAGAACTGTGGCAGGCTTTCAGGCTAACCCTGTCTGGCTGGACACTTACCCAAAAGGACATCAGTAACTCTGGGTGCTTGATTGGAAACTTTATTTTTCCTCTTTTCTTTGTTGCACACTTATTGTATTAAAGTTCCTTTCCATTAAAGGTCTTATATTCTTTGTTTAGATATGGCAGATGGCAGAACATATTTAAAATGGGCAGGTTTGTGGGTTCTGGGGTGCTTCTCTCCCTGCTCTGTAACAGAACCTTTTTAAGAAAGAGACTTAAAATTGTTCAAACATTATTTGAACAAATAATGACTGAACACTTTTTAAAGCTGACAAAAAGACTACCAACCTCATATTAAAGAGGCTTGATAAATAAAGAAAAATGCACCTGGAGTTAACAGGAATCTAGGTAACAACCAGAACTGGGAGGCTGTTGAGGGTCAGGTTCCACTCATATTCAGGTGCCTAAGCAATCTGGGCTATGCACACACCTATCCACAGCCGAAAAAGAAAATGAAAATACACCAACATGCCACGCCAGGATTAAAAACTGACCAATCACTGCTTGAAACTTTCCACCAACCAAAACTTCACAAACTGAAAACTTCTTCTGCATAAACTAGACTTAGCGCCCCCAAAGAGCTCCTTGGGCATTGTGCTCAAAAGCTCCTTGAGTTTCCCACCAATAAATTGTCTTGTAATACTTGAGCTGCAAAGCAAGTGCTGTAACACTACTGCTGTGGCAAGAGAGATGTAACATTTGTGCTGAGACAGGAGAGCTGTAACCAGAATTTGGTATCACCTTCCAAATGCTCTATGAACCTCAAGAAAGAAAAAAGCAAAAAAATACTAAAGTACACTATAGTAAAACTGCTAAGTACAAAGATAAAGAAAACAACCACAGCAAGAAATGGCCTTCAATAAAAGTTTTCAGAAGAACAAAATCTGAGTGATAAATTTATACCTTCAAGTCTACTCTAAAGAAATACTGAGTTCTTCAGGCAGAAGGAAAAAAATTCAGACAAAAATTCAGAGGTGTTTTGGAAGGGGAAGGTCATAAAATGGAAATGCATACAAATAAATTCAAATGAATACTGGCTATGTAAAATGTTAATGAAAAATATTTCCACAAGATATTCCTATTATCATTAAAATAAGTGACAAAGCTGGCACAAAAAGTATGAGGGGGAAAAATAGCCTTCAAGTGTTCTAAAATCATTTTGTTGTCTCGAAGTGGTAAAAGTACTAATTAATATTAGATTTTAAAAGACTAAGGATGCACAATGTCCTTAGAATATTGGCTAGTATAATCATTTTAAAAAAAGAATGTAAATTAAAATTCTAATAGAAAAAATTGAAATGAGTTAAATAATATTTAATCAAAAGCAAGGTAAAAAAAAGACATGAACAAAGAATAGGCGGGACAAATAGTAGTATGGTTGATTTAAACCCAAATACATTAGCATATTACATTAACTATAAAGAGACTGAAATGTCAATTAAAAGATAAAGATTGACAGTCAGACAAGAGAAAAAAAATTTATATGCTGCTTATACTGCTT